AAGTTCTGAACTATAACGAAGAATCTGCCCAAGGCGTATTTAACAAGGTGGTGTTGGCCGTATATAAGTAAAAAATTACACTAACAAATTATACGCTGATGTCCATACAAACACATCATTTTGACGTAATGGCCTCCACGGCGAAAAACTCAGCTGTCGCCCCAACACCACCTTGTTTAATACACCTTGCATCTGCCTTTATTAAATACATGTATGTAGATCAGTGATGCTCAGAGAGAGCTTTTACTCTGTGTGCGTCCATATAAAATCTACAGAGAGCTTTGAAGAGTTCCGCCCGCTGGCGCTGGTTTGAGCCTCACTGATATAGATATGGACAAAACTTTGCCCGCATGCAAAGCTTTTTGAGTTTTCTCTATATTTTATAGCAATGCTGGCCACACTAGTACTAAAGTGAACGAAAAACTGCACAATGGGCTCGTTATGCCCGGCATGGTTTTATATCGGTGATGGGCAGCGCCTTGCCTGCGGGCAAAGCTATTTTCAGCTTTCTAAACATTTTTTATAGGCGCGTGCAGAGTAAAAGTCTCTCTGCCCATCGCCGTTTTATATAGAACAGCAGTGAGAGCTTAAATATTTTGCGAGCCCGTATAAAAGAGAGAATGTTTTTTTGAAAAGCTTGAACCGCGTAATTTTGAATTTTGGCCGTGACTGGCACGGGTTGGTGCATGCAAAGTTTTTGATCTCTCTATACATCTATAGTAAAAGCTCTCTCTACCCAACGCTGATATATATGGACAAAATGTAAAAGCCCTTTTGCTTTATCTTCCAAAGCAGTGATGTCTAAATCAATTTTGATAAAGAGTTTTTTTTTGTTATACTCTGCATTTAAATCATGTACTTGTTATATTTATATGGTTTAGAATATGCCAATAACATCATGGGCGCGTATTCATAGTCCAGCAACTAAGTCGAAACTAACAAAGTTGCAACTTAAATTTAAGTACCAACTTAAAATTTACCCCTATTCATAGTCGCATTTCAGACTTCTACTAAGTAGTTTCGACTTAGTTTACGATATAGCAAAACGAGTGTGAAAATGTATCGATTTTTCTTTACGATATTTTGGAAAAATTACATTTTTATTAAATAATGTCAAGTTTGATCATCCGTTTATGTAATTTTTATTTTCATTGCATGATTATGCAAAAGAATAAGGTATCATTTTCTTGTTAATTGTGTGAAATAGCCAGAACAACCGCAGTGATGTGAAGTCGATGTTTATCGAAAGCATGCTGTGATCTACTATTAAAAAATTATTCTAAATGTTATGCACAAATTTACTTTAAAAGAACTAGCGTGAAACTGACTTATTATTTGAGAATTTATCTAAATTATTCCAATTATAAAATTGTGATGTAGCTTTATTCGAATTGTAATACGCATTTAATTTCATCTTCCGATTAAAATGGATCGATCTTTGTAAATTTTAATTTGAGATTATTCAACAATATCAAAATAAGCCTCTACCAACTTAATTTTTACATATTTCGTCTGTTTTCCCTTAATTTGATAAAATACTTCTTCCTAGTTACGACTTAGTTGCAGCTGCAGCCGAAACTAAATTTTAAGTTGGTACTTAAATTTAAGTTGCAACTTTGTTAGTTTCGACTTAGTTGAGTACTAAATATGACTATGAATATGCGCCATGGTTTTCAAGTAGTCTTTAGAATATGTAATTCAGTGAAATTCTATGCTGCGTAAAAGATTAAAAAAAAAATTTGGAAAATTGTGCGAGTTATACAACACGAAAATGTTGGCTGTGAATATTTTTCTAATTTCATATTTTTGAACAATAAAACAAAAAAAATAAAATTTTCACCAAAAAAATGCCAAAAAACGTATAAAAAATGTCTTGAATCGATATTTGCTAATTTTTGGACCATTTACTGAAATTTTTTTTACCGTATACGAAAATTCTTTGTCATTGGAAAAATTTTACGTTCAAACTACGCATAACTAAATAAATACGAGTTGGGCTAAGTGCTTTCCGAGAATTCAATTTCCAAGCTGTTTGGGAGAAAAGCCTTTGAAACGGAACAGATGTGGGGTATATTGGCATTGGCCCAGGCAGCTAGTGGATTCGGATTTTCCACACGAATAATGATTGCGCTGTTTAAATAATGTCTCATCTCGAGGACACCAGCAACATCTTGATCGGTGTTAAAAAATTTTTGCGTTACGGATTAGTGAAATTCAAACCAAATACTGTCTGTTCATGTTTATGTCACTCACGTTCACTCTTGGAAAACAACTTTCTGACATGCAAAAAAAAAAAACAGCTACATACTACTTACTTCATTATCAATTGAAGATTCTGGAGACAAATGAATTAACAATATTACTTTCATCCGCAAAAGCGGGTCGAACCTTTTTTAAATTCGTAAAAATTTGTTTTTGTATAATAATTTTATGCGCTGCTCTTAAGTGATTTGAAAGTGCCGTTGTACTGTTATAAAAACTCATTTCTCTACCACATTTTTTACATTTCGCTTTAGTTTTGTTAGCATTTTTTTTTTTAAATAACACAAAATAGCACTCGGCGCCATTGTTAAAAGAAAAGTTTTAAATTAAGTGGTGTTAGTGCGAATAAATTAAAAAAATGGGGAGAGGCGACAGCGAAAAGTCGACTTGAGTCGACTTCCATAAGTTGAAACTCGATCACTAAAAATCTTAAAATTAAAATGCAGTAAATATGCTAAGCACAATTTAAAATGCTTTTACTTAAAACAGGTTAAGATTATATGAAAGTTCGGCAACAGCTTTGCAACTTTCGTACACTGAAAGCTCCGTTTACGACGTCAACGATCGAATATGATTCATATAGCACTTCCTAGTCGCTTTGCAAATGCAATTCGCATCCATTATATGAAGCAGTGAGCAAAGAATTATATACATATGTACACTGAGGGAAAAAATTATTAAAAACAATCAGAAATGTAATTGATCTTACTATAAACGTAAACGAAAGTACTGTAGATATATTGGTAAATATTCAATTTAGCGTTCGTTCTGAAAAAGCATCAGTGAAGTGAATAATCAAGATTGGAAAAAATATATTTTATTTTCATGTTGCCTGCAATGGAATTCGGACCCTGACCCTCACTGGATATCAACAAATCGTGGCAAGCATCTTTACGCACTCAGCTACAGCCTGCATATATTTTCAACTACTTTAAAAGGAATTTGGCTTAAACAACTTCAAAGTCAGTATGTTTCGTTTGAATGCACTTGTTTTCTGCACTTCACATGATTTTCGTATTTAAAAGACACAAAAAGAAAACATTATCATTTGCACATGTTGCCTCGGTTGGGACGTGAACCCGGAACTTCTGGAAGCTAACAAGTAACAGCGTGCACTTCTGCACGCTCAGCTACAGCCAGACATCTAAATGTGCTTTCAAATGCTCAGTTTGTATTGTGTGCTAGCAGCATGTTGACTGTCCGACTCTGCATTTAATTTCAACTACTTTAAAATGAATTTGGTTTAAACAACTTCAAAGTCAGTAAATATATTTCTTTTGAGTACGCTTGCGTTCTGCAATTCACAGAAGCTTCTTCATACTTCCAATACACAAATTGTTTCTTTGACTAAAAAGATAATCAAAATTCGAAACATTTACTCATTGCATTTGTTTTAAAGTAGTCTTTAAATTAGTTGATTTAAAAGCAAATCACTTGCTTCCATCAGGTTATGTACACTTACATAAACATGGTCAGATGTGAACATTCAAATACATGCGCGCGTGCTAAACTTTTGTATGAAAATATTATTTTTAAATACGAACATTTTTAAATGAAAATCAAATATAAAGTATTCATTTTTACTATGCATCAATTCCCTCAGTGTAGGTACATACATTTTACTTTTAAATATATATACATAAACATACATATATTTGTTTAGTTTAAAATAAACAGTGAACAATACAAGCACACGCTTTGCTCTACACGTAAACTCACATACATAAATATGTACACAATTTATTTGTAGTATCTTACATTAATTATACTTATTTTAAAGATACTAATACCAAGTTATTGATCAAATATTTTTTTATTCAAGCTTGCGCTACCAACTTGTAAACTAAGCGCAACAAAAAAAAAATATTTGAAATCTAGTTACTGATAAATTTTAGTTACGATAACTATTTAATAATAATTATAATCGTGGTAATATAAAAATTGCTTTACTTTGGTAAAAGTCATCATTTGTTCGGTATACTCAAACAATAATAGCTCTGCAAGCACACTCAAAAGCTTTCACGCACTTTTGCTGAGCTTTTAATGCGCTTAAATATATTTGGGTTTAAAAATTTTACCTTACATAGAAAAAAACCGAAATACAATTACGACTAAAAGGCGAAAATTATGCATAAGCTCTTAAAGAATTTGTTTATAATATTTACTTATTTGTTTGTTTTTTGTTTTTTTTTTTTTCTTTTTATGTTGAAGATATTGTTTATGCGTGTATTAAAGCAGCATTGGAGGCGTTGTAAGAACTAATGCGTTGAACACGTAAAGGAGTATGTTGTGTTGCCAACATGAAATTAACAACTACTTAATTTTAATAAAAAATTTTTTTTATTAATATTTTTATTTGCACGCCAGCAAAATGGAAACTACTCAACTTGTTTGAAAATTAGCCTAAACTTAGTTGTGTGAAATGAAATCGAAAAATTAGTAAAATAATTTCCTTACATAATTTACATACACAACTTATGCATGTACATATGTTTGTAATTAAATTTATTTGTGTGTGCTGCGCGTAAAGTTTACTCAAATGCAATTTTGTTAGGTTTTTGTGTGCGTTTTTAAATTATATTTCTTATTATTTTCTAAGTTAAACTTTTCTTATTTTTTAGCATTTTTTGCATGTTGATGGCACAATATCATTACATTTTTCATTTGTCAAGGTTTTTTTTCTTATTTTAGTTTCATTTTCTTATAATCTATTTTTTTTCTATTCAAACTAATTTTAGTTTTGTAGTTTTTTTGTTTAATTCTCTGCTTTGTTTTTCCTCATTTTCTATAGTTAATCTGCTGTGTACTGCTTCTCAGCAAGTCTCAATACATTTGCACTTTAGCTTTCTGAATGCTACGTATCCTGTTTATGCACCTTTCACTCATTTACTTTCGATATCCTTCCATGGCCTTTTTTGAAATGTTATTTACATGTGACGCTTCATATGCAACGCCAAGTGATCAGAACGCGAAAAACAACGATCGCAGTTACGGCATTTAAATGGTTTAGCACCCGTATGTTTGCGATAATGGCGCGTCAACTCGTCGCTGCGTGCAAAACGCCATTCACATCCTTCCCAGGAGCATTTGTACGGTTTCTCGCCTGTAACGAGATAAGAAGAAAGGAGGAAACAAAATAAGTAAAATTAGTATAAACATAATATGCATTTAGATAATTGGTTAAAATACATACATATGTACAAATACATATACAAAGCATTGTACACTCAGAAAAAAGCATTTCCTTAAAACTTAAAACAAGAAACCAGTTTCCTTATTTAAGAGTGTTTCGTCCTTAATATTACGAAAAATTTACTCAATTTGAGAAGTCTTTCCTTAATTCAGGTTCGTGCTCAAAATAGTGCGTCATTAATTTGTGGAAGTAAATATCACTAAGTAATAATTTCCTTAAATAATTTTGAATTTTGTCAGTGCTGTTAAGACAAAGTTAATTGCTTTCCTGGCAAATGTCGGCTATGGCGTCGCGTGAAGACTACTGCTTCTGGTTCTGAGATCGCAGGTTCGAATTCGATTGGAGGTGGCTAGAGTAAGGTAAGTCAATTATTTTAATTTAAATATGCATAGAATAATATATTTTTCCTAGCATCAAGGAAATTTTTTTCTGTGTATATATATCTATGCATGTTCATATTTATAAACTAATCGGGCAGATATGTTTTTGTAAATTTATTCACCAAAATTTAAAAGTCAGCGGTTTTTGCAATTCAATCGGGTTGAACTTCACTCGAAAGTGAATTGCAGGACCTTCCTGCAAGCAAGTTTTATCTATCAAATCTGTAAGCTTCATATATATATATATTTTTTTTTGTATGTATCAATGTTTAAAACGCAGCCCTTGAGAAAAGCTTTTTTTAAGTTTGCTATGATCATAAAGCTCTCATGCTGAGCTACTCTACATATCCAAAATATATATGAGTTTTACAAAAGCTCTGCACGAATGTCTATGAAACAGCCATGGGCAGAGAGAGCTTTTACTCTACACGCGACTATGCAAAATATATAGAAAGCTTAAAAGAGCTTTGCCAGTGGGCAAGGCGGTGCCCATAACCGTTATGAAATGAAATCTCCGATAGAAACGCGAACAGCGTGAAAGCTGTTTCTGATCGTACGCTGCTAAAATTTCTCTCTGATAAACCGTGCAAAAACTGTAACTGCGATCATTGTTTATTATATATACTTGGAACAGCTTCAAAAGAAATAGTTTTTCCATCGGGCCCGGGCTTTTTAAGGGACCCGGATTAAAAATTGTGCTGGAAAATAAATAATATATATTTTTCAAATTTTATAGATTCTATAAGCAAAGCTCTCTTCTGAGGGTCCAAATTATTGGGAGGGTATACAAAAAAACACCTTTTAAAAGTATCGATTACACAGGCCAAGTAAAATGGAAACACAGTTTGGTACGGAAAATGTTAAGGCTGTTTTGAAGACTTTTTGGAGCTGACTAAGAATCCGTAAGTACAAAGTTTCCATCGGCTCCAGAGTTTCAGAGAAATGAGAGTCTATCTTGATGCCATATTAGAGACTCTGCTTACATCGATTTGTAGCTCTGATAAAGCACTCAAAATCGCAAAATGGCACAATCCATTTCAGCGAGGCAGTAAAAAAATAGTAGAGGAATGAGCCCTCGCCAATGCGGGACAAAGGATACAACACGGTAGCTAGAAAAGTGATAGACGGCCTGCATACCCATTCTTAAAGTGTGCGAGATTTCCATTTTGAAAATGAAGCAATGTCTCTAGGTCTTTAATCGACGTTGAGGGTAAAACCCCGATATCATCATGCCCGTCACCCTTTGAGTGTATGCAAATAGCATTTAAAAATATTTGTATTGAAAGTAACATTGGATTCCAGAGCTTTGCTAGTGGTGTGTATAAAATCTTGCAATGACTAACAAATTAAATAACAACTTTACTTGTCATACTAAAACTTACTACACTACAACTCGTCTACACAGCGAAAGTATATTAAAATATAATTTTAAAACTTGCTGTGCGGATTTTTTTATTTTTCCTCCCACTCCATAGCTTACGAGTGGAGCATGCAAAAAAATAAAGCTTCATTTGAAAAGTATGAATGTTAAATAGAAAACTAAATTTTCTTACAACACAAAATTAAGAAACTTTTCGCATTTCGCTAAGAAAATATGCGCAAGAATAAACAAGGAACAATGAGAGAACTTACAGTTTCTACTTCAGTACGTCCAAGTAGTGCGCTAACAAATAGTACACAAGCAGTAAACCAAACAAATATTGAAAATAAGAAGCAATAGAAACAATAGCAATAGCGGCATAGCTGCACAGCTCACAAGTAACGACAAAGTAAATGAAAATTAAAATTTTGTAAAAGATGCCGAACAACTGTGAAACAATTAAAGAAAACAAAAGAATTATTATTATTTACAAGAAAGTCAAATACGGGTATTAAAAAAAAATTTAAATACGAAGTTAATATCCCTGCAGTAAATCGCGCTAGTTCAGAACTAGCGTAGAACTAGCTCTTTAAGAGGCGGTACTGGTTCTCGATCTATGCCAACGCAATGCTTTCAACTGTCTCTTTTTACATGGCGATGTCCTACGAAGTGGAAATTGCCACCTCTGCAGAACTTTCGAATTAGTTCTGAACTGGTTCCATTTTCGACAGTTCTGGGACGATTAGTTTTTTATGTGAACAAATTTTAAAACTAGATTACTGATTATTTTTTCTTTTCTAAACTGTTTCCATATTGTAGAGATTTTGATTAGTTATTAGATTTGTTGTTTAATTTTTTCTGTTCTTTTACAGATAGTGGTTTTACTTAATTTGTTTTATCCTTTTATTTAATTTATATTCAATTTGATAACTTTCTATTCAATTTTGAAGCGACACTCAACAATTTAAATGTATTAAATGATTTAATTTAAATCTGAAAATCACAACTTCCTCCACCGCGATTTGAACTCGCGACCAATTAAGTCGGACGTCTTCCCGCTGAGCTATTTATTTATTGTACGTAGTGTTCGTCCGACTCCACCATGTACTTGATGCCTGTACTCATTGAAAGTATTGAAGAGAATACCCAATGCTACTCAAAGTATCTCGAGGAAATACTCGATTCAACTTGTACTCGAAAGTACTCACACAAGAAATTTTAACTCGATGCCCGTTTACAAAATAACGACATAGTACAGTGGAGAAAGGCTTATGAAGAGCTGAAAATGCCTTTTGATATCCTTCTATTTTGAAATGGAGTTACTTGGAAGTGCTGATATAGGAGATGATAAGAAATGAGAAAGCTCTTTGTTTACTCGTGTTTGATTTTTCGGTTTCAAAACGATCTATAGACGACGCTTCCGCAAATCATAGGCTGGCTGCACAACCTCCTCTAATTCGATACGATTTTCACATATTGAATCGTTTCTTTCAAAAAATTACAAAAAATACTCGGTAATTGGTAGAGGTATTCGAGTACATGGTATCGTAACATCACTAATTGTACGAGAAGTGAGAATTTGTGCATATGCTTCTCAACAGAGCGCAACTAGCACACCAAAAAATTTAACTGTCACTCTGCGGTCGTTTTACACTAGTTCAGAGATAGTTCTGAAATGTATCGGACGGAACTAGCGCTTTAACAGACTGTCTCTAAATTTTTACTACGTACATACATACGTACAAACAAATATATAGTGTTTATGTATGGAGTATAATTATAATGCAGTTCGGAGTTGGAAAAGTAAAGTTAATGTTTATATTAAGTGAAAGATCTCAAAGTAGATGATCACAGCTTAGAATGAACACTTTGTACGGTGCATGTATGTAGATATGTATGTATATAGTTTACATACGCATGTAAATATGTTAAAAAAAAGTCACATTTGTAAACAATATCGATGCTTCTGATTTTAGTTATATTTGATTATGTCAAACCAATTACAATATGTTCCCCTTGCTGCTGCAAAGGGTATGCTGATGATCTCGGCTTGCAGGGCTAGTGTCCGGTGCTGATTGGCGTGAGTTTTTATGTAACGCTTATTTTGAAATATAGGCATATTTTTTTGCCATGCAAATCATTTATTGTGACTTAAATTTCACTGATATTTCTGGTAAGTTTATTGACTTCATTTTTTATTGTCTGCCGGTTATGTGCCTCTGTGGAATTCTCTTTCTACTTCCGCTACGCACTGAAACAGCCTGCAGCTTCCGGCGATGCATGAGCAAAGCACAGGTTACAGCAGAAAAAGAAAGGAATATCGTTTAGGCGTTTGAGCAGAGCAAACAAACAAATACAAAAGTAAAGGAAGCGTAAATTACTTTTATATGCGCCCTTGGAGTGTTGAAAATTTTATAAAGTGGCTACGTGTAGTAAGCAAAAATTTCAGGCTGTAGTAAATAGAGTTAATAATACATTTGTATTTTTAAGAAAAATTATTTAAATTAAGTAATACTCTTTATGCCCTTTAAAGTTCTTTCAGTTTTTAGAGAAAAAAATGTCAGTCTTTATCAAAGCGAGGTTTACAGTTTTCCAGATAAGAAAGTTTAAGAAATGCAATTAAATTTCGAATGAAGATTTCTTTAGTTGTAGATGCGAAATAGAGTGCAACTCAATAAAATAAAACTAATTTATGCATTTTTAACACAACTACAAAAAACAAAGGTGTAGTAGACAATAAAAAAACACAACAAAAAAAGCAGAGCTCTTCGTGGTCTGCTAAATTCTCGCTACACACCATGATTCGCACTTAGACGCCACTTTGTAAGCCACTTGCAACATGCCAGCAACAATTACCACAACTCAACGAACCCACGCTTGAAATGTCGACAATTTTGTTCATTGGTTTTTGGCCATTTCAATTACTTAAGCGTCGAAGCGGCTATAAAAATGCCAAAAAGGAGAATCGTTGGAAAAAGATTACAAATGTAGTCAAGTGAAAGGACACAAACAGACCATAAAAATGGAAAATTTCTGCAACAGTAAACGAATGACAAACGTACATACAATATGTTTGTTGCTTTTGTTATTGTACAACAAGCACAAGCGAACTAACGCGTAAAAGCTTAGAAGCATCGCTACAGTATTGCTAGCAAGTAACCACACTCTAG